AACATGAAAACCATAATGCTGAGGCATTGGTTGTGTTGAAAAGGTAACATGAGGACAAATACAATGATTGTTTACGGTATATGGCTAAATGAGATTTATCATGTGATTTAATATATTTTGGATTAAAACCCCAGACATAGACTTGCACATGACATCATTGGTGTGTGTGTGTGTGTGTGTGTGTGTGTGTCTTAGAAACACGTTGTTAAGCTGATTTGTATGCCACAGCAGCTCTGTTGTTTCCAGGCTTCCTGTAGCCTCAGTGGTCAGTTTCTTCACTGCTTGAGAGATTTAAAGGTTTTCCGGCACAGGACATGCCTAACTGCCCAACTCTCCTCTTTTCACGATTCCATAAAAGAAACTACAGTGCATAACAATGAGGGAGTGTAGTTTCCCCTCTGTGGGGGAATAGAGTATTTCTGATTGTGCATTACATAAAAAGAAGACTGATTGTTCAACATGAGAACTTCATTTAAAAATCTATTATAAATCCTGGCATATGTTGCTAATATATGCCTGGAGTATTGAGTATGTACTATTTAGGAAAGCAAAGAGATTGTAATCTAAAGCGAAAGCTGAATGCATGTTTTCCCAGGAGAAGCCATGTCAAGTGGTTCCATCGTGGCAAAAAGCTTTTATCGCTGATGACACTCACTGTAGCTTTGCAAAATGTTACTGATCATTCACAGCCAGCGCTGGACCACCCCACTGAGCAGATCCTGTTCAGTGGAAAAATAGCGAGCATCTGTTAGCACGTGTAAAACCAACAAGACAACAGGTCATCATCCACACATGAGATGGTTGGTTCCAGGGCATCTGCTTCAGACTGGAATACAGTATTTGAGGGTAGAGTGCTTCGGGGAATTGTTCTTTTGGGGAATTTACTACTGGCAGTGTTAGTAAGCAGAGTTTGGCACTGGGAGGTGTATACAACATTAATTATAATTCCCAGTGAATCTATTATTTATTATGTATCAAAATGAAGATGCAAATGTATCTGCAAAGTATTTTCTGTTATGTCCTCTGTGGACAGTGGGCATGATCAAACCTCTTTACACAGAGCTGAAATAATTAATCACAATTTGCACTTTAAGCATGTATTTGAAATGGCCATGCAGTCATCTGTAACACACTTTATTCTTTAATACTGTAACATTTGAAACATAGAAAGTTTAGTTTGCTGCCGCTATACGAGCAGAAGTCAAATGTGGTCATTGCTGCTAACTGTAATGACGATGGCAGTAAAGATGATATTGGCAGCCTGTCAGATTGAAGTCAATTGAGGCAAATCCAGCCGCCATCTGATTTTATTTTGCCTGGCAGAGCAAGTTATTTTATTGGACGCACAAGCTATTTGACACAGCTGATAGTAATGGAAAGATTTCCGATTGTTGTTATGCATGCTAACAATACAAGGTGAAGATGCAAACATGTGCCAGTTTACAATTTGAGCAGGCATGAAGGAAAAAGGCTTTCTGTGTGTCTGTCTCTGCACTGTCTCAGGGCATCTTAATATTTAAGAACCTATTAATGTGTTATACCAGATTAACGGGAAGAATCTCAGCTAATTGACGATACAAACCATTTTTACCAAAACAAAACACAAGTCTCATAAGAAGCATCTAAATGACCCCTGAGCGAAAATGCTAATGCACTTTGGCACAGAACTCAAGATAAAAGATACCCTTATTACTTATCGTAGCTGCACATACAAGATATTGGATTAAAGCTGAGGTTCCACAGATTATTTAGGTATATATATCATCATCACTGAGTGATCCGAACTCGGACAGGTGAAGCAAACACAGACATCACAACACGTACCTTTACCGTAGCTGTCAATCTGATCAAAATACTTGTTCAATGGCATTAAAACGAGAAAAAACGCGGCTGAATCAGTTAATCCATAGGTTGATAATGTTTCTGTGCAATATTTTTTTTAAATTTATAATCCATAATTCAATTTGTATGTAAAAATCGGAGAGTAAAAGTTAGCTGCTAATGGTAGCCACCAGAGTTATCGCAGCTTCCGGTTTTGGCTATGCGTTAAGTCTCACACACACACATTACCAAATAAGGAGTATGTGGGACAGTGGCGTAACAAGGTTGTGATTGGCCCCGGTGCAAATATTTGTTTGCCCCCCCCCCCAACTCAGTCTCTCTCTCTCTCTCGCTCTCGAGCTCATCTCTCTCTCTCTCTCTCTCTCTCTCTCTCTCTCTCTCTCTCTCTCTCCTCTCTCTCTCTCTCTCTCTCTCTCTCTCTCTCTCTCCTCTACTTTCAAAATCTATTTAAAACTCATAACAAACAAACAAAATTCCCAAAGTTGTCTTGAAATTAATTAATTAAATAAACGAAACGAAAAATATAGCCTACTTCCAAACAACATAAAACGGAGCATTATTTATTTCTACTTGAATGTCGCACTGCACCCGCTTTGCGATTATGTAGATTATCTCATTTTGAACAGCTGGACTCAAGTATTTCACAGAACCTTGTGGTCGCTCAAAAAGTTATTTCAGAACCGGATCGTAACATGCTAAAAGTATATCATACTGAGAAAGTTTCCACGTTGGGCTGTCCAAGAATCTACCTATGTCCTCTAAAGCCAAGTTACAAGTGGCCAGAGTGATTGTAATGTTGACAATATGCTCAGTACCTGTCTCCAGTAATCTCATTTGAACAGCTGGACTTCAAGTATTTCACAGAAGACACCTTGTGTGTCGCTCAACAAGTTATTTTCAGAACCCTGGATCGTAACATAGCTAAAGTTATATCATACTGGAAAGTTTCCACTGTTGGGCCTGTCCAGATATCTACCCTATGTCCTCAGTAAAAGCCAGTTACAAGTGGCCAGAGTGATTGTAATGTTGGACCAATCTGCTCAAGTACCTGTCCTCCAGTAATTAGCAGGCATTCATTGCATTCTCGTCCCATGTTTGCATCGATTCGCTCGTTTTTTCTCCACTGTTCCATTATGTCACACGCTCCGACCATGGGACCTGCGATTGTGCATGTGAGTCAATCCTCGCAGACAACGCATGTCCACGCATCACTGTAGAACGGTGCACCTCGGTCTGCGAACAGCCAGCACGGCTCACAATAGGCACAGTCCAGGGTGGGGGAGTAACACAGCCATGTCCGTGGCAGTTTGATACCTGCTCTGGTAGTGGTGGTGTAATACATCGAGAGAAACACCTGTTTCCTTGATGTGTGTCTCTGGGGAATGGGCCGATAGGCCTACATGGCCGGTTGCTATAATATAGCCTTTGATCTTGGCGTCGGGGTCTCAATAGCGCCATAGAGTCCCCTATCGGTTGGGGGGGGGCCCTTGCGGGAACTGTAGGACCACCGCCGGGCACAGCCAAATCCATCCTTTCCTCCTGGCTCATGGCTGGAGAAGAAGGTCGCACAGCCACGGATACAGCTTCACTTGTGGAGCTAGATGATGGTGAGGCAGGTGAGCTATCGTTAGCCTCCGGCTCCGGCTGCCGCTGCACGTCAACATTACCAACGTTAGCGTTCGATTTCGAGGACGATGTATGACAAAAAAAACTGTCTAATTTTGTTGTTTAGCCTTTACATCTCCTTGTTCTCTCTTGTCCTTTCTCTTTTGAGCGCCGCTCTTGTGTTTTGGTTTGCTGTACATTATAAATGCAAGCTATTCAATTTGTTATAATTCTGCCGATCTTGCTGCTGCTATAGCTGTGTAGTACATATAACTTTTGATGTTGATTAAACGCGGGTTTCCGCTCGTCACGCAATAGGTATCACATGACATGAAAGGGAGCAAGGGCAATTGGACAGACAAATACAAAATTAATTAGGGTTGCTAGGTTACTTTGAAGACTGCGTGAACCAGTCAATGCCATTGGGGCCCCCAAAATAAAGTATATATTAGAAAAAAAAGATATATATATTTTTTTTTTTTTTTGCATGGGCCCTTTGATGGCTGTGGGCCCCGGTGCAATGCACCGGCTGCACTGTCGATAGTTACGCCACTGATGTGGGAGTTCCCCTCGATTCCATTGGCTCTGACGGTTAGAAAAAGGTCAATCAGAAAAATCGAGCAAGGGGGGCCAGAGATAGGTCAAATCCACCCAAATGACCCCAGAAGTGTTTTTTTTGTTGCTAAATCTCTCTAAAAAGGTCATATTTCACTTGTTTTGCATCAATCTTGATGCAGGGTACTTATTATATGTTGTAGTTTGGATTCCTAAAGCTTTTAGTCTACCATCCCATCATTCAAGGGTGGTTCTCACTATAAGTAAACACATTTTTTTGGACGGACACAATAATTTACATTTTTTTACTGTGTTCAATCTGAATTTATTTTAAAATAAAAACATCTATATTGATTCTGACACTTCTACATACAACTCACAGGTGTAACCTTGCTTTGAGAAAAAGGATTATTAATTTAACCCTTTTAGAAGTGAGGATATGGTCATTTGTTCTGGGAATGTCATTTTCGAGCCTGAGACCTGAAAAACAGGCTCGCGGCTTAACAGACGAGTGCATACAGTATGTTTATGTATTTTTTATGTACCTCGCACATGTTGATTTTTTTGGTGGCTATGCAACCAGTCACAATAATGACTTTGTGGTCATTGCCTGGGAATGATTTAATTAACTGTCCCCTGTCTGGTTAGATAATTTGTCAATAACGCACAAACACAGACACTCTCTTTCAAACACACAAAGAGTAAGTCAATTTGTTTGCCATGCTCTCACTAATGCTGAGGTTAAAATGTACTCACAATGACTAGCTGCAGCAGAGAAGTCTTGAGTGACACGGCTCAATAGGCAATGATAGAGGAGTATTGAGAAAAGCCGCTGACGGGAACAGATCATGGTGTGGGTTCTGTCTGCCCACGGAGAGAAGATACTGTTGTTTATTTTTATTTAAATTATTTCATCAGTGTTGCAGCACACTGTATGATCTGCTCAGCCCCACTCGAAACACAACAGTAATTATGTTTTCTTCTTTTTTTTTCTGCAGGTTCAAGGTTTGATCTACACACAGGGAAAGGTACAAAAAAGTCTTTCATTTCCAGATGTTTCTCTGCATGCAAAAGGCGATGGGGTGGTTTGATTGGCATTCAAATGTATACTGTGTGTTCAGGCTGTGGGTGGATGGATATTGAGGCATTACTGGGGAGATTTGTGAACCAGTTTGTAATTTTTTTCCCACTGAACACATGCACACACACATATTTAGCGCAGCCTGTTATCCTAATCATGGTGAACATAAAATCTGGATTAGGGGTGTCTTATAGTATCAGCTATAATCACACACAAACAAATCCTTCAATACTTTAGTACACTTGCACCTGCTGCAAAATGGTAACTGCCTCTGTAAATAGCGCCTTTCTATACTGCAGAGCACTCAAAGTGCTTTACAACACATGCCAACATTCACCCATTCATACACCCATTCATACACACATTCATACTGCCTAATGGTGATAAGGCCACTCTAGCTAGTGAGCCATACCACTCCCTAAATAAATGATCTAGATTATGTCAATGTGTAATATTATGTGTTAGTTATAGCACGCAGTATGTGTTTAGGTTAAGTCTAAAAAAATCATATCCCTCCCAATTGTCGTTTTACTAAAAACACAAGAGTAATAGCAGCATTATCTAAACTGAGATTTGTTGTTTATAGCTGTTTAGGGTTTTGCCATCTAGGCAGCATTTGATCATTATGCTGATGGTGGACATACAGCTCTTTTTGGTCTATTTCTGGCAGATGGAGTCCGTAACGGTTTATGTCTGCGTCCGTCCCTCTGTAGATCCCAGAGTATTTTAGTCCAGAATAATCCCCACCATCTGCTGTCTCCTCTACTACGTTTTAGTGCTCAGCATCTCTCCCTATATCCGTCACTCTAGTGTATACACCATTGCATTTCCTCTTCCTGTTTTCTCTATATTACGATGATCCGTCGCAGCGCAGCTGTATCTTTTAATTGTGATGCCTCACTTCCCCTCCCATTCAGGCTCTCAATCTCCATCACCTTTTCTCTCTTCCTCTTCTCAATCTCAATATGACTGCTCCTTCTTTCTAATGGGTCTTGATCCATGATCTCTTCCCCTTCCTCTTTGTATATTTGCTTTTCGTCTGTACTTGTTTAAATCTCTGGATGAGCCTCTACACTCTCAGTGTTTGTCTCTTGATCCATTTCACTCCCACACCAACCACTCTCCACAAGCTGTCAAATCCTAATCTGGGCATCATGAGAACAGACTATACCCTCTAGTTTCTAATGAAACTCCTAAAAATCCACTCTGCTAGGAACAGAGTTTAAAGTTGAAATGCGTCTCTGCTGCTTAATCACTATAACTAGTAAAATACTAATTGTTTTATGTCATTCAAATTAAAGGAATGCCTTAGCTTTTGTGTAAAGGCTATTGTGTAAGAAAATACATGTAGCGCTGTCCAAAAAGCAATCAGCTGCTCAACATTAAAACATTGTATTGTTGTTTTGATATCTGAATCAGTTTGTGACTAAAATATGACACATATTAGATGTTTTCAAAACCTCTAAACTACTTTCTTTCTGTCAGACGGTCAAATGACTGACTAGTTTCCCCACTTTAGTTGTTCTCTGGCAAATGACGACTGCAGAAACAAGAGTTTACGACTGTATCTCTTATTTCCTCTGTCCTCCTCTGTCACAGTGATGCTCCAAGGGACAATGGCCTCTTTGTCAAATGAATTCAACTGAGAACATGACGAGAACACTTAACCTCAGAGTAGAGACATGTACATATGACATTGATGAGCTCCACTTAGGGGCACCAGTGTGCTATAGTGTGAAATGTAAAAGCACTGCATGTGTCACTGTGTGGCTCACAGCAATCATAATGTAAGCAACAAAAACACAGACAGGTATGACATCCACACCTCAGTGACGCGGCTCAGAGCCATGTTCAGCACATTTTTGTACCAGCACACAGCTGGATTAACAATGACTGAATGGATTAGGGAGAGAGTCAGACAGAGACAGAATGATAAAACACATTGACTCTTGTGTCAAGTGGGTATTTGTTGATAAAGCCGGATACCTTAAACAGATACCGATAATACCCGAGATCATCATATTTTGGCTCGACTGCCAATGACATCACATAACCATGCACTCCACATGTAGCACACACACACACACACCACACACACACACACACACACACACACACACACACACACACACACACACACACACACACACACACACACACACACACACACACACACACACACACACACACACACACACACACACACACACACTCTCACACAAACACACACACACACACAGACACACATGCAAACACACACACACACACATACACACACACAGCACTGAGCAGATCATATTTCTCATCATCTGACGCAAAATCCATTAGCGCTAGGAGTCACAACCTCATCCATCCGCACTTCTCCCTCAATTCCCCCCACTTCTTCTCTTACTCTTTCCCAGACATGAGGTCCCCTATGTGGGACTTCTTCAACAAGCTCCTCTGAAAGACGGGAACAGGGACAGTCTAACAGTGAGATTAAGAATGTAGGTGACCACAGCCCGCTGGGCAATATGTCACATTTGTTTAGGCTGTTAAAGAGCCAGCTTCTCATTACCCCACTCTGATTGACACATGTATCAGTTCTTACACTTTTCCAGTCCTCTCAGAGCAGTCAGATATATCAAAGCAGATGTCGATAAGTTTGACCAAAGCTAAAGCGAATAATAATAATAATACGTTTATTTATTATAACACCTTTCATAGAAATAGAATTTCACAAAGTGCTTCACAATTAAGAACAGAAACAAGAATAGAGATATCATCTTAAATTAAACCATCTACACCTGGAGGCTATAGTTGTCCTCTAAGCTAATTTCTTGTTTTAATTGAACAGTAATGAATGATGATGGTCATCATTTTTATTTTGTGTGTCTCTTTTAGTTTTTGAAGTACGCCACACATTCTGTGTGTGTGTGTGTGTGTGTATGACAGTAGTATGATTGCCAGCGGGCCATTTACACTAAGACTGCATGCCTCCTGCTGGTGTAAATTCCTTTGGATTGCTGTTATAAAGCTACTTTTGCCATTTCCCTGTGAGTTCAATGTTATAATCTGCCATGATGTCATTCTTCTGTTGCTTTTATCCTCACTGCGTGCAATGTGTTTCTTGGATTACTCCCATTTTGACATGCGTAGCACTCTAAGAATGTCAGAAATGAATGGGCA